AACTTTATTGATCTCACAATTGAGAAATTAACCCTCTGCATTTAACCCGTCCCCTTGGGGAGCTGCCACTGTGCAGCGCCCAGGGAGCAGTGTGAGGTTAAGGGTCTTGCTCAGGGAGCCAGAGAGCAAGCTGTTCTAACCATTAGGCCATCACTCCCTCAATATAGATGTACTACCACAGATCAGAAAGTGTGATGTTGCTAATGACCTTATTTAGGGGTTTTATAGATATGCACATCAGACGTTTTAGATTTAGAAAAGAAGCATCCAATTTATCCTGTTTCTTTCAGGTTTTATCACTTATTCTAATAAAATACATCAGGCTTTGTTGTTATAAGGGAAAAACTAAACATTCAATATATTTACAACATTTTGGTGAAATATCCCAAAATATGTAGGTTTGTAAAAAATGTAACTTTCAATACAGTATTTTGGGTTAAATAAGGACAAGAACTTGTTGACCTTAAACAACCATAAAAAAAAGGTTTCTATGGACTTGGAGGGAAATTGGAAAAAATCATTCAGCATCTGAGGTTTGGTTAAATGAATGGCACCCAGATATTGCAAGAATTTACCTAAATGTTTGGTTTGGAAAACTGTAGAGTGGCAAACAATCAAGCAGAAACTACAGAGAATAAGAGTGGGAGCTGAGAGAGAGGGAGCTCCGTCCAGTGGAGCCAAGGCAAAAATTTATCGTCAGGAAGGTCGATGAACATGTAATTTACGATGTATGCTCTGCCATTTTCCCTGCCCTCCCTTTGGGTAATGAGAAACGGCTGTTTTGTTGTGGGGCCAGTACATGGTACACCCCCTCCCATCTGGCCATGACACACCATTAGTTTTTATTTCTGTCTCTGCTTTTACGACTCCCTGTCCAGGCGCCAGCATTTGGCTGTTGATTCCGAGCATCCTATCACACCATCTGAGCTCTTCCACCTCCCAAGATGGCTTCTTGTACCCAGACAAAAACTAGGACTAAACAAGGCAAGACTTTTGATTGTTATTATTATAATGATGATGGATTTCAAAGTTCAAGAGGATTTAATTTGGGTTCTTAATTGATATGAGGAAATTATGATCCCAGATAGTTAGCGGACAGAACATCACTGTCAAACTTTTTTGGTCTGTCCAATCAAAAAAATATATTGTTTAATATTTGTAACTAAACCAACTTTTAAATTTGATTTTGCCTATCATATCAATTGGTTATGTATAAACATCTTAAGCAAGTGTATTTTTTGCTGGCAAGACAAAAAACATAACAGTTTGCAGAGGAGAAATTGAAAAATATTAAAAATCTACACTAATACTACACAGTACAGTAGTTTTGTCAGATGAGATGCCATTAAAATGTGAAACCAAAATCCAAATGGAAATCTAATTACTGTGCAATGTGGATACAAAAGAGGATCCATCCATCTTCTCCTGCTTATTCCATCAGGGGCCCGGTGGGGTCGGTGCCTATCTCCGGCAGTCTACGGCCGAAAGGAGGGGTGCATCCTGGACAGGTTGCCAGTCTGTCGCAGGGCAACACAGAGACACACAACCATGCACACACACTCTCACACCTAAGGACAATTAAGACATGCCAATTAACCTAAAAGTCATTTTTTCGTACTTTGAGAGGAGTTCCCGGAGAGAACCCAGGCATACAGGGGTAGAACATGCAAACTCCATGCAGAAAGACCCTGGGCTGGGAATCAAACACAGGATCTTCTTGCTGCAACAGTGCTACCCCCTGTACCATGGTTATGAGCCACTTAACCAATGGATTCCTTTTAATAAGGAGCCTAAAAATCCTGAAAGAGAATCTATTTGTGAATCTCAAAAATAAGAAAAATAGAAAAGAAATAGAAATTAATATTAATATTTCTGCTATCTAAATAATATTATTTTGCAAGAAATAAGTTTTAGACAAATAAAAAATATTCTTCCGTGTTGTGAAGGCTCCCATAAGTTCCCATTACAAAAACTGCCTTACCGGAGGGACTCTCTCGCCTTGACCATTCTGAACAGCACTTTAGAGGAAAGCATCTCTGTTATGTTTAAAACCAACCAAGCAGCTTATTTACATTACGTATTTATTTGACTCAAACAAGTCTGTTTGGTCAGGTGTTTTCTCCCATGCCTTAAAAACAAACCGCTTATGAAAAAAGAGCAACATGGACAAGCTACTTCTGCAGAACTACAGGCCCATCTCAAACCTCCCCTTCATCAGTAAGATATAACAAAAAAATGTTTCAGACGTTTAAAACCTTCATTATAATAAACCTTCACCAACTGCTTCCACTCTGGCTTTTATGCTCACCACAGTGCAGAGACCACACTTGTCAAATGACATCCATATAAATGCAAACTTTGGAGTGCTGGTATTAAACACTGTTGATCACTTTATTCTATTATTGAAAAACTGGCTCGACTTTCTGTACTGGTCTGGTTTAAATCCTACTTGGAGGGATTTTTTAGTTTCAATAGGTAAAGTAACATCAGAGAACACAAAAATCATACGGCGCTCCCCCAGGGTCCATCTTAGGATCCATCCTATTTACTATCTACATGTTCCTTCTAACTCATAACATTATAAACAACAACATAAGTCACCTTAGCTAAGAAGGCAACACACAATTACATAACACTACCAGACTTAATTCAGTTGAATCAAAACAAAACTGAAGAAATTATGTTGAACCAACAGAAGAGCATTTTAAAGTTAACACACAGCTTCAGTTATAGAGCAACAAAATCAGCAGTCTGGGTGTAGTGATGGACTCAGACCTGAACCTTCTGAGGCACATAAGCACTGTAACAAGCTCGGCCTTCTACTCTATCACCTTAACATCTCCAGGGTTAAAGGACTGATGTCTTATCAGGATCTTAAAAAAAAAAAATAATAATAATTCAACTAATCTTTTGTAGGACTGATTGCAAAGGTGTCTCCACAGGTCTTCCTTAATAGTAGATCAAGCTGATGCAGTTGATCCAAAATGCTGCTACCCACATTGTCACCAAAAACTAAGATAGTTAAGCACATTACACAGTTCTGAAATCCATACGCTGACTTCCCGCATCAGAGAATAGACTTTAAAATACCTGTAAATCTAAAAATTACAGAATGTCTGAGCAAAGTACATTGCAGACTTGTTTTCAGGGGTTCAGCAGCCTACAGTAGACCTCTCAGGTCTTTTTCTGAGGCCCACTCTGCACACCCAGACCCAGAACAAACATGGAAAAGCATCTTTTAGTTCTTATGCTCCTCTAAGCTGGAATAAGCTTCCTGAAAACTGTAAAAGTGCTGAAACCTTAAGTTGCCTTAAATCAAGATAAAAATGTAAGTCACCTTTGACTGTCCTTTATAATTTTTGGTTGTTTAAGTTTGTATTCAAACCTTTTTTTATTATGGAGCCTAGGCGGAAGTTAAACTGAAGAAACTCATTGCTCTCCTATATCCACCTTTGAAACAGCCAATCAGCTTTGAACCAAACCTCCATGAAAGCCAATCGGCATCCAAAGTTCATCTTAAAAGGCCTCTGATCCACACTGTCTGCTCCTGTGGGTAGGCTTCATTCAGACGACACCAATTCAATCCACCTCCAGCCCGTCCTCCACCTTCGTAGCTAAAGCTTCAGCAGAGTGTCATTCCTCCCGGACTCTTACTGCATTCCCTGTCTCATCTCAACCGGTACGGCAGAAGACCGCCATGTTGAGCCTGGTTCTGCCAGAGGTTTCTTCCCAACAGGGAGTTTTTCCTCTCCACTGTCGCTTCATGCTTGCTCATCATGGACAGGTTCTCTCAACCTGTGTTATCCAACTGGACTTCCATCTTCCAGGTCCCTGAGTGAAGCTCTAGTATCAACTTATGCAATCCACTGGATCTCCCCATAAAGCTCAGCATACTGTCTCGCTAACCAGCAGTCTACAGACTGACCAACTTCATCTATCTCCACTTCTCAACCAGTTTCAGGCCTCGGGGGAAACAGCCCTTTTCTTTGCTCTTGTTCATTCATATCTATCAAAATTAAGCACTATGTTTCCTGCCGAGGTCTGAGCGTCAAAGACAAAGTGATTGTATCAAAAAATTTCTCCTAATTGTCTTTTCTCTTCATGTGAGTCTTTCAGATTTAATTGTTTTTAATACATTTATAATGAATTTGTTATAATTATCTAATAATTTTCTTTTTTGTATTGCAACAACAATGTGTTAAAGAAATAAACATTCCTTGCTTTACAAATAAAAAAGAAAATTTGTTTACCTTAAATGAGTGAAAAAAGAAATCAGTTCTGCCCACAGTCATCACTATATATGACAAGAGGCGAGTAGTAGATACTAAAATTTACTTGACTAACTTTAAAAAAAAAAAAAATGCATCAGATAATGGAGTTTATTTAGTTTGGATTCCTAAATTTCATTTTTCTAGTTTTCAAAGTTGATTTCTATGTATTGAGCCTGCCGTTGAAACTGGAGTTCAAGTGACCTTAAAACAGTACAGCTATTTCACCCTAACATGATCTATTTTAGGTATTGCTTTCATTGGTTTCAAAAAGATAAAGAAAATGTATCCAACCAGCTCCACCACTTTAAAAGTTTAAGGATCTTCAGTGCACATTAAATCATAGTTTTCAATTTCTTTAAGAACATTTTTGCTTCACTTTAATGAAAAATGTTCTCAAAAAATGCTGGATTAGGGTTAATCCAGTGTGATATTATGCTATTGGAATCATTTTTAAAAAGTCACATTAAGGCTTTTTAATGCTATAGTAAAAAAAGTTTTATTAGTGTTTTCCTTCCGCATGACACCAGAAAAGGTCTTTAAAGGCTGTTTTAAATGAACTAATAACTGTACATAACCCACTAACGAATACACCAATGTATTAAAAAACATTTGCTATGGTACTCAGCTATGGTAGGTATTTAAGGGTTAACTTACTTGTAAACATAAGTAATTATAAGACAAATGCACAAATTAACACCCAAACTATTATGACTCATCAACGGCGTCATTTTCTTGTTTTATTATTTAGGCTTTCACAGGAAAAAAAGCTATACATGTTGATACTAATACTGGTAAACACATCTTGACATATTATGTTTCACAATCCATAGTATTAAAAGATGAATAAAGTACCATGTAACATCTATAGATAGCCTAACATACATCTACAGATATCTTACTTTAAAGACAAAAGGCTCTCCTTGTATGCATTGTAAAGCAAGTTATTAAAAAATGTTGAAAAATGTTGTGATAGTTCAAAAATACGAGCAGTAGGAAAACAATACAGTTGTGCAAAATCCCATATCCTCAGACCATACTGCAAACACGCTGGTTAGCGCATTGGACGGTTATTGTGTGGTTTATATATATATTAATGTGCATTTACATGTCCTTCCATTTTTCCCAGACTTGGTTCCTTCAGTCTATGAGACGAGTAATAAGGCTAAGGCTAACTATATGTGCAAACGTTGACTACTCATGTACACACAGCAAAGATCTGTTGAACACTTAAATCCGTGCAGATATGCATATAAAGTACGAAAACACCAAATACTTCAGGTCGATTTAAATGCAAAGAAATGCAACTTAGTATCATGCAAATATATTTTTTTGTGCGGATATTCTTTTTTCAGGTAAAATATTTGATTTTACACAATCAGAAAGCAATGATGCTGTATTTTTTGGAAACCACAGACATAAATGGATATGAAGAATATGATTGATTATTTTCATCTTGTTTTGTACCAGACGCCCTCAAATTTATTAACCAAAGTCTTCTCACTCTCAGCAGCCAAGAATCCTTTCCAGTGATTTTGTTTTTCTTTTGAACTCCCAATAAAAAATGGTTCCACATCTTATTACTATTTCATTGTCTTCACATCATGCACACTGACTTTGAGAAGCTCCCTCTGCCACTTTTCAACGACAAAAAACAGATGAAATACAAATGTGATAAAAAAACAGGCTGAAATTGGCCTAAAAATCCTTTGCTAAATCTCTGTAGAAGAATTGACCTTCCTGCTTACTGCTGCATTTTGAAAATTACTGTCTATCCAATTTTTTGAATACTCTGTCCATGATACAGATAAAATCAAACACATTTTTGCAATGTTGCTTTGCTTTCCAACTGTAAATTCACCTTGATAACAGCAAGGCTGTTACAATAAAACAAGATCCTCAGGATATCTTTTTTTTTTTTCCCAAAAGCTTCAAAAGACCTTTCAGTCGAAGCAGTCCTCCAGTTCTCATTGCATCTTCTACAATGCAGCATAGCAGCAGTAACTTTCTCTCTCTGCATTCATTTCTTTTTTTGTTTTTTGGCTCTGCTGGGTGAGGCACTGCCTCAGTTTTTCTCCCAGCCTCACCCAGCAGGCCTCAGAGTTTAGGTGACAGCACTGGTTGTGACGGTGGGAGCGGTGGTGCTCCTGCTCTGGACTTTCCTTCGCTTCCCACCTCCACCTCCTCCTTTTCCTTCTCGTCCTCTGCCACGTGCATGTTCCCTCTTGTTTGTATCACCCTGTCTGCTGCCCTTATTCTTTTTATCTGAAATGACAATGCAGAGACAACATGATTAATGTTTGCTTTTCGAAGGTAGTCTTGCAAGGCATTAATCATCCCATGTTTTCATGGAGAAATTACCATTCTGTCTTGTCAAAACTAAAACATGTACTGTTGAGGGAAGCTAGAAACCTACTGATGAGGGCAACACAACGGCCAGTTACTGTTAAAATAATCCAGACAACCCTTTTAAAATACCATGATTTTGGAAAAGAGATACGATCAACATCATTCAAAAATATTTCCCACCTTTAATGTGACATATTCTGCACAATTCCCTTCTAAATAAATCCATATTTTAAAGGGAAAACATATAAAGAAGTGGTAGAAATGTACAAACCCTTGAACTATTTCTTTGTAAAAACTCCTTTTGATTCAGTTTCAGCTTTAATTCTTTACCATAACCTTATTTTTTTGACTTGGCAACAATTGCTCATGAGCTCATGCTCATAAAACTGTAAAACAGGTGAAATCTATTGTTCTCAGCATTTGTCTGGATGAATTTGCAGATTCTCAAGCTTCCTAGCAGAAACCTGGGGGTTATGAGTGAGTATTGTTTACAATTTACCATTGTTTTCTGTCACTATTCAGATTTATGCCATCTGACTTATACATATGCATCTTTAGTTTTCTTAATCATTTATAGTCTCTCTGATCTAAGTTAAAAGATACAAGAAAAACTGGTCAGGACAACCCTTCACAAAGATTAGCAGGGTGAACTGGGTTTAGTGGTAGGTGTGTTCCAGTGAACACAGAATACTGGAGTTAAATTAGAATAGCCTAGACGAAACTAGCTAGAATAGAATAGAATAGAATAAAAAAGCATTTATGATCTCACAGTAGGAAAATTTAGAGAGTGTTTTCACAAAGTAAGCATGTGCACATTAATGCAGCCAGGTCTTCTATTGTTCTTTTTTATATTTTTCATTAACCAACTATCTCTTTTGCATTTCAGTACAGAATCAATTTCTCATTAAAGGTTCTAAATTCCTTTGAAGTTTATTATGTTGGTCACAAGTTCTATATCATAAAAACGTCATATTGAAAATGTGGAGGTAGACTTTTCATATCTGTACTTTTTACGTTTAGAGTCATATGATCTATGAGTGTATTGTATTTAGATCAAGTTAGGTAAATTTAAGGTTTAAAATGTTATCATTCAGTCAAACTAAACATTTTAAGTCAGGGGTTGAAAGAGGTATCATCCCTGTTGCGGATATTTTAAATACCAACACTTTCAGGAATTTGATTAATTTTAATACGATGGAGTTTAAATATGAAAATAAATAAAGTTTCAGGGGAAGGGGTTAAATATTCTTATCGGAGGCATTTGGGAAGCAAACTATACTGGCATGGTGACACGGAAGGCAATTTCAGAAAAGCTTTTTTGTTTAAATGGTTTGGACAAAATGAACTACAACTCTTGTATCTGGTGCAAAGCAAAAAATGCAAGCATACCTTCTAAAGAGCTCCGCAAGAGTCACTGGAATAATTTCCAGAAAGGCAGCTGCTACAGTAGTTGCAATTATCAAAGCTATATCTTCAGAAATATGAATGTTGCAAATTACAGAAAACAACAGAATAAATATCTTTGTAAATGGAAGAAGTCAAAAAACGGATGATTGCACATTTTTGCATCCTCCATTAGAAATTATGTGCAGCTTTGCACTCCTTCCCAAGTATTGCACAAATATATTTGAACCTTGGGGAAAGGGGCTATTTATTAGACTTAGACTTTATGTATTAGTTTAAACAGTTGTGTTATTTCTAGACAGAATCTTGTATATTTGTAAATAGAATAAGTCTTTATTTTTCAGATTAACATCATCATTTACAGCAGCAACCATGTCAACACTTGAGCACCAATACTGTACAAGCTCACTCCTGCAGGAACAAGCCAGCTCTAAATGCTGTATATTTGCTGACAGTCAAGGAAAACTAAAATTATCATCTCTTTAACGTCAACAAAGAAGAACTTTTGTAGCAACGGATCAACATTAGTAGAGAACTTAAAGCCCAGCTGTCCTGAAAGACACATGGGACCGATCTGGCAGTGGTCTCTTAGTCTGTTTAATTTAGGTTACAACAGCTACTCACTCCTGTGTCCCACTTGACAAACCCTCCACACCTTCTCTCTGCTTAAGCTCTTATATACACCTGTCACAAATTTAAAAGGGCCTAATTGTTACATTAAAAAAATAACAAAAATCTTCCACACTGTGGTTAGTTTCCATATATTATCTGTTAAAAAAAAATTGGATAAGTTAATAATTTTGATGGCTTATAAGAGTACTGTGGGTAGTGAGGTAGCGATGTTCTATTTTAAAAACCCTTTAAAAAAATCACTTTAGCTTTAATTATATGAAGATTTTCAAGGACCCAGGGATAGCCAGTTCACAAAGAGGAAAACAGACATTAAAGTCTAAAAGCCACTGAAACACTGTGTTTAATTGCCCTGTTTTAAGATGTGCACTTACAATGGAGACAGACTGATTCAAAATGAGTGAAGTCACTTTGGAGCCTCCAAAATAAACAGACAAATGCCACACAATCAACAGTTACATCTACAAAGTTCATATATTGTGAAAGAATCATCATACATCATACATTCATTAAACATAGAGTAAATTATTTCAAGCTTTTATATATGAATACCAAAAACTGACAGTGTAATACAATCTTAATGTCATGTAAGAGCAATAGAAAAATACATTTCCAACAGAAATGGAAAGCTTCTTTGATATCAATCATGTCGTCTCAATTAAATGCAATGACACGTTCAAAATGTAAACACCCAATAAAACTATGCACGAACAGTTGAAATGAAACATGTAGAGAATGTGTGAAACAGTCTTTGAAAATATTTCCAAAACATGGGTGGACGCACACAATGTGTAAGGACTTAATTACTTCTCTAACAAATCACTGATGGAGCCAAGAGACGGGGACTCCATCAGTTTATGACGGCCCTGATTGCACCTCCTCTCCATCCAAGCTAAACAGTTTTGCTTGACAAATGCAATAACACATGTAGCAAATCCTTTTTCGTGAGACTTTTTTTGTGGAGCTTCAGGAAACAGTGGGGGAAAAAAAATAATCACAGCCAATTCAACACAAACCGTGAGATCTGCAGACCACTAAATCACTAATGTTATACAAGATCTGCCCCCTGTGTTTTATATAGCCCTACTGCCAGCCAGCTCCGACAGATGAATCCACAGCTGTGCTCTTTTACCCACATGAATTTGTTCACTGGTGTAACAGCACCATCACCCATGAATTATTCTGCAGATACAAATCATTGCAGTCCGGTTTTGCAGAAGTAAGGCAAGTGAAAAGCTGAGAAAAGAAAAAAAAATCCCTGTAGCATTAACAGTCAGTTATTATGTGATTATAATTTAACATTTGTCACATAAAACCTTCTGCATCATCCTTTCTTTTTATTATAAGCTATCTTTGCACACAGTGTAGGTAGAGTAGTTTATAATTTTTCACTGCTAATTATACTTTTGAACTCAAAGCTAAAAGTTTTTCCAAGAAGAAATCATAAGAATGAGTTTGCTTCTCGTTTCTGATGGAGTTAAAATCCAACCGAAAGCCAACTTCTCTATGAACAACTACAATCCTTCATCCGCGCAGATCTGAACAGGACACTGTCAGATCATGTTCTGTTGTTTAGATCCAGAACCCGAGAGGAACTTTCCAAGTTTAGAGAATGGTAACATAATATGCGGGCCCTCCCCATGTTTACTCACATACAGTATATCGGGGCAGGCCATCTGTTAGATGTTGAAACATCTGTACTACTGCCAGGGCTGTGCAAATGTTGTTTGCCAACGTTGCTGCTGTGGCCGAAACCCCCTAAGCGTGCCACCGTCCAATAAAGACTTTAAATACTCCTCATTTAAAGTTCTCCTTGCCCTTGTAAATAACTTTACTATTATAGCCCTGTGAAAATTGGAGCATTATGTATAGTAAAGGAAACTGACATACGGGGGCATTTAGAGAGAAAGTGATTTGCTAATAATTCCGAATTAGCATTACTCCTATTGCAATTAAAGGGATTTGACCTAATGAATTTAAACAAGTGGGTTCAATAGCTACTTAACAACAATGAAGAAGTATTTGCCCTCTTAATAGATTTTTTTGTTTGCTTTTTTGTCACAGAGCTTTTTTTTATTATTTAGATCACACAAACATATGCAGAGAACATGAGCAAAATTAAGGAAATAAAAAAAACATCCAAATGTTATGTAAAGTATATCCCTCCCTTTGTTAAATCATAATTTGAATGTTAAAAAGTGAATTAACTGTTTTCAGTTTCTGTGACCAGTTTCTCTTTACACTTGTCAGACAACATGAGTTAAAATATCTCAAATTCTAGAGGCATACAGTACAAGAAAGGAAGAGAAACTTAGTGACATTTTTTGTCTGGCTAGAGTTACAAAGCTTTGGACTCCAGCAAAACCAAACTGAAAACTATGAACAGCGGTAAACCCTCTGAACAAGGACCAGCCTAAAAGTATTACTCCAAATGCTTATGGAATGTTTATGATTTAACAGTAAGAATGAGAGTGGGAACATTTTAAACTCAAGGCAAAAACCAATGTTTATCACAAAGAACGCAGAGGCCCATCTTACATTTTCTCAGAAATAAAATAAAAACAAAATACTCGTAACCACATTTGGAAAATATTCACTGGACTGTTGAGACAATAGTGGACCTTTGTGAAATGTACAGTATGTGCAACATGTCATATGATATAAAGCTGCACAGCATTTGAGGAAAAAAGCCGTTATACCAACAGTAATACAAGAGGGTCAGAGTATTATGGTCTGAGGTTTACTTTCCTGTTTCAGGGCCTGAATGTCTTGTAATATAAGATGAAAACATTAAACTGCCTATAGAATGCGAAATGAACTTTTTCTGAGCCCTTATCATTATGCCCTACTTTCATCAATATATTGCCTAAAGGGGTAGTTTGCTTGTTTCAGGCATGTCTGGGTAATCCTGAGGAATTCTGTTCCCTGAGCAGAGGCTCGTGTCCATCACCATTTTATGTAGAGTATTGATCACCTGCTTCCTCCAGTGCGCCTGCTCAGTAAACAACAAGCTCACTTTCTCCTATCAGAGATGTGAGGCAAAGCGTAATAATTTCTAGAGCGAGGGGCTCTTTTTGCAGCTAATCTGTACAGTGACAGCGACTAATGTCTTAAGTTGTGAAAATGTGTTATTTGGTTGCAAGTTATCTGAGTCCCTTCCTTAATAGAAACCTAATGGACACTATCAACTACTTCCTGAACTTAAAAACAGCTCCTTTGTTTAATGTCTTTCATTATTGGATGAACTGATTAATCCATGTGTGTCTGGCCATTGTTGTCAAGGTTACTGAGGTCAGGTAAACCTGGATTAACACTATCACTATCTCCCAGAGTGGTGGTGTAGAGGTAGCCCTTTTTTCCTCATTGTTTTGGGTCAAAATGTTTTTTGTTTTTAAATCCATACTAGGAACTGAAGGATCGATATTATATTGGGCAACTGAAACCATTTTTTCCAACACCCCTATTTTTAACGTTGGAAAAACAACACCACGAAAAAAAGCCTAACATTTCATACACAAATGAATACTCCGTAGGGTAATATGTCATCATACATATATTTAGAATTGACTTTAGAACTGTATGATTTCAATAGTTTTTGCATGTATTAACTCTGTGAAGTAATTTTTTATTTGCCACAAATAGGTAGAAACATCATGGCCTTTTTCCTGCACTTTTTGTTCAACGTACATGGTATCTTGTCTGTCAGTTGTTTTTTAATGGCCTCAGCAGTGAAAATTTTAAAAAGCAACCAATAAAAGATTGTGAAAGCAGATAATGGCCACTAAACAGTGAAAATGACTATTAACCTGCTGGAGAGCAGGCGACTGTGTGCAGCCTTGAAAATCTCTTGCTTAAGTGGTCATGAGAAGCCAATAGCTCTTTTTCTAGGTTTTCAGATTCCCTTCCAGCTTAGCAATGCACAATGTCCAGCCATCATCTGTTCAGCTGGTGGTTCAGCAGCTTTATTGTTTATATGTGTTAATCTAGGGAGACTCTGTAACCTTCTGTGTCCTCTGCCAAACTAAGCCCAACAAACATACTGCAGGTCAAAGACACACCGGTGAGCAGGCTGATCTTGAGAAGTGAGTAATGAGACTTTGGATGCCTTTTAATGCACATTCTTGCCTCTTATTTGTTGTCTGAGTAAAATTATGCTACATTTTATAGGGCACTCTGAGTTGTGAATCAGCTCTTTTGGATTAGTGTTTTACCTCTTGCACAAGGCGTCTTGGTCACCGTACACTTCCTCCTTTCTGTACTTGGAGCACAGGTCTGTGAGGGCACAAATGCAGGGGAGGTTTCCACACTGTGAATCTGGGGAAGGGGTAAACGAACCCGGGTTTGTGAGCCTTTCTTAAATCCACAAGTCTTGTTCTTCTTCATGCAGGAACTCCATTGGCTCCACTCTCCTAGTTCACATTCTGAAGCATGATGACCTGGGACAAAAAAAAAAATACACTGAATATATATATATAATCACGTTCAAACAACTTTTGGGCTGAGTGAATTTTCCACAGCTTCAGCATCTCACATTCACTTCATATTTTCTGTGTGCTTTTCACACCTCAGTAGATTTGATTCAGGATAATGAGCTTAGGGAGCCTGCACATCTGAAAACAATTTGTGATTTGTGGATGGATTTATAGCAGGGGAGCAACAGGTTTAGGTAGTTGCTAAGAAACTGAAAATGTGTTGTCTTTAAGCAGACTCTGCATGTTACAAATATGGATGAGAGCAGAGGCAGTTTAACTGAGAAATTCAGTGCCTTGGAAAAGTATTTATACCTTTGGAGCACAGAAAACACTTTCCATGAGACAACTAGGCGTTTTCTATTGCTTTTATGCAGCAAAATAACACCAAGTAGTTAATTATGTTAAAATTTTTATATCTTTCATTTGACCTTAATTATACAAGGTAATTGAAATTCTAACTGTATACACTATGTTTCTTTTTGACTATTGAGCCGAGGTAACAAGTAATTTTCTCCACTGTGAGATCAATAGAGTCAATAAATGAATCAATTAATCCTTTGAGAGAAAATTTTTATGGCATGGCTAAAATGCCCCATCAGAAGAATGAAAATTTAAGGAAAATTATTCAATGCTATTCAAAAAAATTACACTACATGATTTCATTACATGCAGTGAAAGAAATTATCATCGTCATAAGAGAGCATTAATCAGAGACTCAGCCAAGAGGCTGAAAGTAATGAACTGCAGAGGTCCACATGCAACAAACAAGGTGTAACTATTGCATGAAATGACTACTATCAGTTGTGGGAGAGGCAGGAAGAAAGATGTTGAAAGAAAACAAAACAACTTAATTAATTGACCTTGCACCAAAGAAAAGAGTGGCAGTATCATTCTATTGGAATTTTCTTTTTTCTATGCTATATTTATCAGCAGGCACAATACAAGCTGGTTTAAGTTTATGGAATGATTAATGAAACTGCAAAACAGTTGAAGCAAAGGTTCACCTTCTTACAAGACAAAGGCGATAAAAATACAGCCCACGCTTTAGCAGAATGGTTTGCTAAAATCACATCGGCTGATCTAATCATAATTCAGAAACAAAATCTAATTAGGAAACTAGGGTAGGAATTAGAACTTGCAGTTCAGACCGTCTGGAAATTAAGAGTGAGAGACATAACTAAACTGTTGCATAAAAAGCCAAACAGAAATATGTCAGCTACTTTTTGGATGTTTCTATCTTTTCTTGAAACTCAAAAGGTAAATGATAAATGCCTGGCATTTCAAGTTACCTTTGAGTTGTTTAAAAGGAAATTAGATTTTCAATACTGTTTTTTAAGCACTGATCTTGACAGACCTGTTTGTGTCGTTTGACAGAAATACATGAACAAGAAGAAAATCTTTGGGAATGTTGTAGGTTTCAGCTCAATTATTTAGGTAAGATGAGGTGGTCAGCACTGTTTATATGTTAAAAGGACTGTTTTTATTATTATAATTTGGTAATACTCTTTTTAAGCCATAAAATAAAAAATATAAAATTGAACTTACCCTCACAATCCATGGTGTTATTGGCAGTGTGCTTGCCTGGAGGGCAGCGGACATAACATCGGCCACTGTGCGAATACAAACCCTCCTTACATTTTGTGCAAAAGTTGCGACTGAAACATGCTTCACAATTTTCTATTTTACACTCTGAAAGACATACAGACAAAGAGAGAGTATTACAAGGATGGATTTAGTAAAATATGATTTCTGTTGTATTTTTCAGTCTAAATATATAACGTTTTTAGACTAAGCAAAATATACCTTTTTTTTTTATGAATAATTAGTAATTGGAAAACAAACAAGATGTCTCTCTTTAGAACAGTAATAGTTTCCTTTAACAAAACCTGGCACAGGGCAGATTTCTTTTTTTTTTTTCCATTTTACCATGGAAAGCAAGTTTAAATGAAAGCTGCCAGCTTAGCTGTTACTGGCCTGTTCAGTCAGTTAGCAACAGCTTCTACAGCAGATTTCGCAACAGTATATTTCTTAACATCTCAAGCATAAAAAGCTGGAAGCAATGTTACCTAAAATGTGACTTTTCACACACTTTAACTTCTGTTGTCTCATTACATTAAAAAGGTCGTTTGCTGGATGCTTGTGGCCATAAAATCTGTTATCCAGTCTTTAAAACATACATGTATTTATGACCCTTTGGTATTATAATAAAAGAAGCAATCTTCTGTAAATTTAAACAATCATGTTACATCCAAACAGTGTGAAATTGTAAATATCATGACTTAAATTTAATTTGATGCTTCTTTTTTATTCAAATTTACTGACCACACAGACATGCAGAGCATAGAAATAACATAAATAAAACCTCTGACAATTTAAAGTGGATATTTTGGATTTGTGGTCCTATTATGAAAGAGAGACCCAGCAGCAATGCCAACCATTATTAAAAATTAAATTAGCCTGTCTTGCATTTGGTAAACATCCCCTCAGTTTCCTCCTAAATGCTATCTTAAATATTATATTGACCTGATATGACCCAAAGCTAAACATTTGAAAGGTATGGGTCTTCTTACATTCAGAATAAGACTTACAGAATTAAGGACAAGGAAGCCTATATCAATGGCCAAACATGGTATTAGTGGAATGCTCTGGTCTAGATGACTTTCTGTAGCTGATGGAGCAACAAATTTTGTAATATCAGCCAAAACTCTATGATTTTAGGCTAACATGCATTTATTTTGGTTATTTAAGGCAGGGAAATGATCAAAGGCACTAAACATAGAAAATTAAGATTTAGATTAGGCCTTCAATAACTCTAATCAAGAAGCAGCAGTTGAATCTCAACTAATCAAGCCACCAATATACCTAAAATAAGACAAGTCTGTAAAGAAGAATGGTTCAGAAATCCTCCATAGAGACTCAAAAGGACTCTTTGAGGATGAGGATTAGTTTTCTATCTTCAAGAAAGAAAATCATAATTTTAAAAATTGCTAATTTCATAAGCTGTTTTTGTCTGGTAATAAAAAATATATATATTACCTAAAAAATTAAGTGTGAGAAAAAAATCAAAATGGGAGAACTTGGCTAGGTGTTATTCAGTTGAAATATTGAGTAAGTCTGAAAAACATTAAACATTAAAAACCCTCAGTGCTTCTTTCAAATATGGCGTAGGATAGCTCCATTATCATGAATTATTATGAATTATTATTATTATTTAAATAAGACCTCTTTTTTAACACTCATTGATTTCTAAAACTTTCTCATAACATATCAACATTGATTGTACTAGATATATCATTGATTAGAAAATGAGGAAATGTAGATATCCAAAAGGTTCACCTGAGGCTCTATTGGGGATAAACATTATTCACAGATATGATGAGATCATGCTAAGAAATAAATGAAAACTGGTAGAAATGTATTTACAGGCTAAACATTTTGCAGCTGGTTTAAATCCAAGACCAGAAAGGATTTTACACTGGATCCCTCAGTGAGATCTTAATGCGCTTTTTTTTCCTTCTAAATAAAAATTTCAAGCATTGACAGCTAAATTTGAAAAACAATGTTTGTTGCATGATAATTCAAGACAAATGTTGCTAACAAGACATTCAAGGATTTGATGTAAAAGGGCAGATGAGTGGATAATAACCCCAGTCTACCCACTAAGTGCCTCCTGAAAGAATTTGAGAGTAAAATGCAGCCATTTGAAGGAGAGAATTGAGAGGGAACTGCAAAAAAATATGTTTCATGTTCTGTTATGTCCTGTTTTATCCACAGAGTTTCTCTGCAAAACATTATTAGATTACAGAAAGTAATTTATCAGATATAATCTAGCTTGCCATATTAAGTAGTTAAAATAAGTATCTATTTCCTTCTTATGTGATTTAACATGTGTAACAGGGATATCAATTACAGTTTAAGTTTACTCATAACCCAAAACAGCAACTGACTGCATACAGTTACAAAAGTGCATTGCTATAGTGAAAGCGTAACAAACACCCCCTGGCCTGACTTGCACAACTGTGCCAACTGAAAAACAGAAACGCTGAAAAACAAACTAAAAATATTTTCATTGGGATTTTTTTTTTTTTTCGTCCAATTCTTATTTCCACCCACATATAAAAGAAAACAAACATCAGACCGAGCTCCTGGCACTCTTCACCTATAAGCACTGGGGCCAGTACCATATGAGAAAAAAAAAGGAAGTTTATTAAGTAGTGAGAGCGCAGCTGCCCTTTCAACCACCCTATAAATAGTCAAACCTGCTTATTACCACAAAGAGGACCACTTAAAGCCTTACATTCCTGCAGCTTAAGAAAATATGAGCTGTTTTTTTTACTTTTATAACCCAATATTGTTGTTGTTTTTTTGTTTTGTTTTTTACTTTTGTCAGTATTTTTTATTGAACTAGATAATTAGCAGTATATAAGGGATTATGCAATGAAATGTCTAATTACATAGCATCTTGTTTTGTCACAAATATTTATTCAACAAGTGTAACTTATATTGAACATGCAGTACCTTCTGGTCTATCTAGAACCGTTCCTTGGAAAATTTAGATATTCAGCCCTATTCATGGGTTTGGATCTTTTGTATATAATGTAAGTGACAGTAAATGGGGGTTAAGGCAAATTATGAACCTTACCTGTGGTAAAGATACAATGAAGGCTAAATAACCACCTTATACCACAGCATAATACCACGCTGAAGAGTTTAGTAGAATGCAATTTTTAATTCTACTGGGATTCTCATAGATTCAATGTCATGTTGGTACGTCTGTATAGGATAAAATAACTGTCAAAAACAAAAGTATGCCTGAGGATATGAATTTGCAAATGTAAATCAATAAATGTGAGGAAAAGGTCATGTAAATATGCAATTTTCAGTACAAATCAGAAATGTACGGTTGTAAATCACAAATTTACTGGTAAAAATCAGAAATGTATGATTAGGAATCACAAGTGCACGAGTACGAACTATAAATGTATAAGTGTGAATTTGCAGCCCTTACGTTTGTGATTTATAATTGAACATTTCTGATTCTTACTTGTAAGTTAGTGATTTTTACACCTGTTTTTTCAAAGTCGTTACTCTTCTACAAGCATCCAGAACTTCTTCACCTGTATTTTCAAAGATGAAAAATACTTACAGCAAGGAACAAATACAAGTCTTACATTTCCTCACATTTATTAACTTAATTCTAAAATTCAGACACATAAGCATACAATTTTTACTGAGAGCTACCTTATCCCTTACCTCAGAATATTATAGTAAACTTTCTTTAGACAGATTAGAGTGCAGAGGAACTTTTAAGAAGTAATCAAGGATTTTTGGTTTGCCAAGGAATAACACTTTAGACAGACACCTATTTATTAGTCTCTTTCAGAATTTAAAAGAGATACTATCATACCATTAAAGTGAGTGTTGACTTCCATCAGTCAGGAAATTTCAACCAGAAAATATCAAATCTGTCTTGCAGTCTGCCTCAGCTCTGTTGTTGTTTGGGAGGCTGGCTGCCTACCCTCTGTTCTGCTCCACACTGCCAATCAGGGTAAGCAGTTACAATTGTCTCTCCCCTCCTCACAACTAATTCCTCCCAACTGGTATACTGCCCTGTTAACCTGACTGTCACAGTCAGTCTCTGCCAGATTGTCTCTTTGCCTGCATGAGGTTCATTTGCAATACTTGTGTGCATGGCCTGCCTGTTTTACAATCCTGTGCTTACCCTACCCTCATTGGGTCCTCATCGGCTTCTGACACTGGTTACAACCAGGACTGTGTCTGCCAGTCACCAGGCTGTTCAGCCTTCATCTCCATTTTCGAACCTGAGACCAGCCTATTCTGCCTACATCTCCAATTCAGTTGATCATATCCACACCCTTTAATAAACCTTTTAAGCACAACACAGTCTACGGATGAATTATGGGGTTATTTGCCTAATTTGTTACATAATCAATCACTCTTACCCATTTCTATAGTAATAGCAATAATTGATAAAACTAATCGAAATTAACAAATAAAATAATATGAGAACCAATGTTTGCCACAAGCACAAAAAGAAGAATGGCAAGGAGGTGCAAAAAAATAAAAAAAAGTTTGAAGTTAGGAAATGGCTCTAAAAGCAGGATCATCTGGGGGTCAGTAATTATACATATACCGGTAACAGCCTTTATAAGCTAAACCTCAAATAGTTGTTTGGGAGGAATGCCAGAGGAAAACCCTATCTTTCCACATAAATCCGGAACTTTAACTCATACTTGAACCCTATCCTTCGGTAAAACAAGACTAAGATGGAAGCTTTCTGCAATAAACCCCAACGGTGGATTTAGTGTAGGAGAAAACCCCTTCCCCTAAAAACGGGAAAAAAGCATTTCATGACAGTGGAGAATCTCTATTACTGTGGGCCTCTTTCTAAAAAAGCCGAATGAGGTTTCAGGTTTATCTTGCAACAACACACAGTAAGGATGATAATAGGAGATAAAAAAATAAATGAAACAAACAGTGGCATCTTTGAGTTACCAAGAATTTCATTAAAATGTATTTGCATGTATCTCCATCAGTGTTGCTGATAAGAAAACAAAAAACAATCTAAAATAGAGAATTTATGTATTTAACATTTATATCTGCCTGAAGATTTTAATAAAAATGATTATAATTTAAGTAAGAACAACTGCAGATGCAGCAATAGTCCCATCTAAACAGAACTGGAACAAAATTGTGGTACAAACCACTAAATACTCACATAAGCAAGATATGATGAGTCAAAAGTAAGCACATGTCTTCCAGAGGTCTAATTTGGATATTGTTGAGAAATAAGTTTACTGAAACCTTCATGACTTTGCAGGATTGTATATGAATGTTAACAAATTCACTGTGCCCACTCATATCCTGTTTAAGGGAATCAGTCTCTTTTGGGGTGAGTTTTTTTTTTTTTTTTTTTTAGGTTTTACAATGTGTAAAATAAACTCACGTGTGCATCGGTTGTGGCCTTCTGGGTTCCTCATTCCAAAGTAACCCACCGGACAGGAGGGGAGGCAAACCCCTATCTGACGGATGTCATTGCGCTCCAAGAAGATGAAGAGCTTTGGATTGCATTTAATGCAGCCATTGTACTCAGAACATTTGTCACAGCCTTTGGGGCAGGATGGTGGTCCCTCAGTGCTAACTGCGGAAACATTAGGATAAACAAAAAGGAAGGAGCAGGCATAATGAGCTTGCAGAAAGTAACAGTGTGTACCTCTTATGAAGTTTTAAGAGGGAATAAAAAGATGGTATTTATCCAAAGTGGTTTATGAGATCACGGAGTTTCAGTGATTTTGTTTTCATCTCCACTGATCACCATAATAATACAAGCATTTAGAGAGTCTAAGGTTAAGATACTATCTGGTGGTTTATTTTTTCTTGAACATGTAAGATTAAAGAATACATTTCCAATTAAGCACAACCAAAAAATTGTTTGTTTGTTTTTTTTTTTATAAAAAAATAGAAAAATAACTTCTTATTCTGCTTTGTACGTAATTAGATCAAGGACATTTCAAGAAAGACAATTTTATTAGTAAAATTTATTAATCAACATAGACTATAGGATTCAAGTTGCAGGACTACAACCTCTGAGCTGAACTCAGATGACCTCAAAACCATGAAGGTTAATAAAGCTTAAGTAATATGCTTTTAACCTGGTATGAATTTGTTTAAATTCCAGGTTGTTCTTTTTTTTTCACTTGGCCCAAAATGAATGTTTCCAATTTTTACTGATTCCTGCAATGTTCCCCAATGCAGCTCAGCAAATTTAATGAAGCTGTATAGAACATAGGTATTCACTTTAAATGAATAGTTTAATTATGTTATTATGTCTTATTCCATTTTAGTATTTTAAGAGATGCATGTATGTCTAGAAGCTGTTTTTTTGACAAGGTTAATTAAATTATTCAAAGCAAACTAATAAAAAAATGGAAATCTATGGTCAGGTCTACTAATTATATTTAAGGGTAAATTGACTGATTTAAACAAAACTCTGGACTGTAACTTAGGAATAGGATATAAGAAATAAAAACAGCACTTGCAGCCATAAAAGTCTAATACAGGCCTAAAATAGCTAACAGCACCTGATGAAAGGCAAGGCAAGGAGAAGGCAAGTGTATTATTTATAAATTAATAATTAAAATTATGAGATGATAGTAATTAATCATAATAATTAATCATCTTAAATGATGATTAAAAATCAATGACAAAAAATTCACTAATAATGTTTAGGCTATAAGGCTGCTTCTCCTTGTTTGGCTCTGGGTCTGGGTATGCAGAGTAGACTTGATCCAGGAAACCTGAGAGGTCTGGGCGGTTGATCCATAGACAACAGGTCTGTAATGTATTTTGGTGCTAAGCCATTTAGTGATTTATAGACTAACAGAAGGATTTTAAAGTCTATTCTCTAAGATACTGGGAGCCAGAGTTAGGACTTTAAAAATGGGGATATGTGAGTACAGTACATTTCCCGGTCTTCTTTCCAGCCAAGGATATGAATCAGCTCCTTTAATCCTCAAAAAAGCCGAAGAAACTAACACAGAAGCAGTAACCTATATAATTTCTTGGAAACGCATGTTATTGTGCACATCCTTACTAGCAGTGTTTCACTGGAAGAAAACAACAGTCATCTGAGTTGATTTACTGTGCTATTCTCTATCAGCTCAACGCGCACTCATACAGCAATCAATCTGCTGTGCTGCCTCCCAAAGATAAAGATGGAAGGCAAAACCCGTTAAAAGGTTTCTTCCAGGAACAGATTTCTCCATGTCAAAGGAATGGTAAGCAGCAGTAATTAGGGTCAATTGTAGTTACTCTTTGTTAGAAAATAAGTGATAGTTAAAAATGTCTCTGAGTAGAAATCTGTTACCATACAGCTAAAAAAAGAATCTTTACAGACTATGTAAATAAAACATATAAACTCCTTTTCATTCTCTGACATTGAATGAAATTATTTGATTTGAATCTTCTTTCTTTAGATTAGTGAAGGTTAACAAAATTAGATTTCTTTAGCTTCAATCAATTGCAAAGATATATGACATAATTAATCTAAGCTAAATGAAGGTTGTGGGTATGTTTTAAGGTAATTCCCCAAATGTAATCCTTCCTTGTGTTACATTTCATAAAATAAATTAGCCAAGATATTTACTGTTTAACTACCGTAGTAGGCCATATTGGCTTTGGCAATCAATACGTTTTAGCAGAGATCGACTGTTAAGGGGTTCAGTCTGGTTTATTCTTGGGGTGTCATTTTCTGATGCCTGAAGATGAGAAATTCATTTGACCAAGCAATTATAAGTAAGAATGATGGGGTTCCAGAAAATAGTATGAACTAGTTTTAGTTTGAATTGTGTGTAGAAACTTCCGAACAAAAGCAGAAATCCTTGTGAAATTGATGCCTCTTGCTGGTAAGAAGGAATATTATTCATTGACAATAAAATTGGTCATTTACTGACATTGTTTGAAAGGACACTTGGCATGGAAGGATCATATCGTAGCATCATATCGGGTGCACTTTAAAATATAAATTGCATCGTCTCAAGACACTGATAATCAAGTTAAATATGGGGTAGATAAGCCTTCCAAAAAGAACCAAAGTATACCACCAAATTACTATCAAAACAAAGTCAGTGTTTTCCACTAATTTAATAAAAACAAACATAAGAATCAAGTCAAATTGGACCACGAACCTGACTCAATTAAATCTGATCTGTTAGAAAGAATGGAAAAAATCTGAGTGAAAAACTGAACAGGATGGAAATTACCTGTACAATAAATATAAAAAAGCAAGTGAAAAACAAATTTAAGTGTATGTTGAAAGAGACAAGGGTAAAACATGTTAAAAAAATAAATAAAAAAATAAAGAAAAGAGGAGAGAATAATAACATTTGGAACTTAAAAAGCAAGCAATAAATAAATGAGTTGTTAAATATAACATTTTAAAAAAGAATGCATCTAAGCAGGAGGAAAAAAGACATGTAAAATGTGTTGTCGTGTATCAATTTAGAAGAATTAAAAAGACAATAATGGAGCTTAAAGAAGCTAAAATAATTAGATTCAAGTCATGCCATCGAAGAGAAATTAAAGAAAGTGAAAATCGAATTATTAAAAAAAAGAGAAAAATAGTAGAAAAAATTGTGCGCCGTTTTTTTTATATAAAAATATGTCTAAACTCTAATTGATATGAGACCTGGCTTTTTAATCTTTGTTAAAGACTTTTCACTGAAGCACATGGAAAACAATATTGCATTCTTTAATTTTACTTTTTTTTTTTATCCTTGAATTTAACTTCTGCTTAAAACAAAAACCAACACTAAATGATCTCTTCTGCTGTTTGCGGACCAGAGGTAAGGATGGTTAAAACTGAATCTGATCACTTTGAAGATACAATATCTTTAAATCTTATGTGTAAATATTTCTCTTCAGTTGGCTGTGACATTCTAGGACTGGACCTCCTGAACACTATTAGTTGCTCCATATCTCCTGTTTTCATCAAAGTGCCACTAGATTAACTCTTACTCCCCCCTCCCAGTCTGCGTGCTTATATTAGCACCACATCTGTTACAGGGGCCACTTTTGGTATTATATGTATTCTGGCTTTAAGGAGACGGGGCGAGCTTGGCATACCCTGAAAGCTAGTTGTGTGTAAAGGAAGAATTATTTCAAAGCTGACAGAAACACCAGCACAGAGAGATATGCTGCAAGTCGATCCGGGCGCCCCGTCTTTGTAGTCATGTGAGGTCAGAAAAATGCTTACAATAATATTGGCCGTCTGATCCAAGAGAGAGCTTAGAGCTGTCAGGTACTCAACTCTGTTACGTGCCCACACAGCCAGACACAAAATGAGCAATGGCTTTGAGAGGGAATCCATCAAAAAAAAACCTCTATAAACAACTTTAATACCCATAAAAGTTTTGCATAAACAGTGAGAGGCATAATCTTAAAAGAGCAAGAAAGATGAGCCATTTTGGGGGAAACTCTGAACCTAACATAACCCGCCTTAGAAAAACAAATAAGAGTGAAGGGAAAACAAACAAAATGTTATCTTTATTTTGCTCTTTAAATGTTTATAAGACATCCACCGCAATGAGTCAGACCACAGATTAAAAAAAGAACAGCATTGCTGCAGTGAAAAAGGGAAAACAAATAGAAGAAACCAAAAGAGTGACAACTCACCTCGTCTCTGCCTTCTCGCCTTGGAGAGCTTGAGAACGTCGCTCTGACCCATGGAGCTGAGAATGATCATTGCCAGCGCCACCAGTCCCAGCTGCATAGTCCCTGCTGCCTTCCAGGCTGTGCAAGGCCCCCCCTTGCAACCAGATGGAACAGGTAAGGGGGTGGGGTTCCCCCTTCCTCTGTAGGGCAGGTGATCCCTCTGCTGCAGGTACTGATGGACCCTCTTCTCAAAACGTAGCACTGCTCTCCTCCCTCTCCTGTATGCCTGTCCCTCCCCCAGTCTCTCTCTGTATCTTTCACTCTACTGGCTGATATATCCAAAAGTCTGAGATGTAGAGTGTGACGTTGCGATTACACATCCGGACAAGTCCGAAGCACAACAAGTCATCATGTCAGAGGTGGCATAAACAGATGGAGATGGCGGGAAGTGAGGAGGGATAGAGCAGAGGATGCAGAGGAGGTGTGTTGGAAGCGCTTGCAGGTCAACCCATGAACTTTATGAGGAGTTTGGAAACAAGCTTGGAGCCTTCTGTTTCAGCCAGATTTACTCTCGTTTGAATGTTGTGCTTCAAAGATGGAGGGAAATAATGGTGTGCAAGCTGACAGAAGACGGGTGCAGCTTTTTTTTTCCCATATGTGGTTGCACATCTGTTTGAATCACTGCCTAATGAGAAACAAAACAAAACATCATTCTGGTTTAGCATGGAGTTTATATGGAAAATTTCACAACCTCAAATTACAGACAAAATAAAGGCATATTCTTTATACATTTCAAAAAATATCTTGAGTTGGATTTTGGGGGGATCTTAAATAATCCAGAATAAAAAGTAAAACAATATTGAAAAGATCATCAAACCCACTGACATTTTTTCACATGACAGAATTAAACCTATTTATGCCACTGTTTTTTTATGGACCACACCAAGGTAACCAATCATTTAAGAGATATAGGCTTGTAACATTTTCTCTTTTTTTTATTTAGTTGTTTTTATTTAGTATTACACTGATACCAGTATCGGGCAGAGCCTCAATCCAGCACTAAAATTGTGGTATCAGTACCAGCGAGTACCATCAAATAGGACACCGATACCATTTTGAGAGCCAAAAGTTTATTCAACTATTGTCACCCATTCCAGGTCGGCAATAAAAAAGTTACACTGGATTCACTTTGTATTAGTCTTTTTCTTGCTTCACAAAGGTAGGCAGCCAAAAGGTCGGGGCCAAAAAATGGCATTCGCACACTATCTTTATGTATAAAATACAGAAAACTGCTGTATTTCTGCTAAAAGTCATGATTGAGAAATAATAAACATGTGAAAGAAGATGGTCCGTTAGTATAAGAACAAGAAATTACTTTTTGTTGATGTGAAAAATGCTTTATGTGGCTGAAAACTAAGACCTTGAACATAGCACTGATTGGCTTTATTGATCTCACAGTGGAGAAATTCACATGTGACATTTGCTCAATAGTCAAAAAGAAGGGGCCAAAAGTAGGAAAAGGTGCTTGGACAAAGTGCATCCACACATATAAATATATATATATATATATATATATATATATATATATATATATATATTTATATGCACAGGGATGGAGGATGCTCCTGGGACTTTAGAGCATCAGGACAGGGAAGCTGTCCAACATATATACTGCGCCATTTACAGTAGGACTGTTTAAATGAAAGCATGCATCCATGTTTTTGGATGGCCTAGCCAAAGTTCAAATCTAGATTTAGCTCACAGATCTGACAAGAATTAAAGAATAGAAACTCTGCATTCAGTCTGCCTAATCCCGATCATACAAAGAGCTTTTTGGGGCTATTATATAAAGAAATGTGAAAAAACCTCAAAAGACATAACATTTGTCAATTACTTACTCAGAATATAGATGAAAGCTTATAGATTGCAATATGGAAGCAGAAACAGCTAAAGTTTACTTATTAGCATAATTTTTGTTTTTAAACTACACTACAGTTATGTTAAAATCAAAACTTTGCTGAGATTCATTGGTTATTCATTGGACGGATGGAAGGCTTGTCTAAAAACTTGGAACAAAACATTCAAGAACCTAATTTCAATTCAGTTTCTTTATATAACACCAATTGACTTTACGGAGACAATTGAACAAGATCATAAAGTCAAATTGGTTCAAAGTTTTCTAAGGAAAACCAGCTGATTTTACAGCAGCTAGCTATAAAATGGCATCAGCTCAGTCCTTATAAAATGAAAAAAGGGATTTAAAACCGGCTGCACAGTGGTTCAGGGGGTAGCACTGCTGCCTTGCAGCAAGACGGTTGAGAGTTTGAATGTTCTCCCTTAGCATGCGTGGGTTCTCTCCTGGTACTCCGGTTTCCTCCTACAGTCCAACATCATGACTGTTAGGTTAATTGGCTTCTCTAGATTCTCCTTAGGTGTGAGTGTGTGCGTGAATGGTTGTTTGTCCTGTTGGTCTCTATGTTGCCCTGTGATGGACTGGCGACCTGTGTACCCCGCCTCTCGCCTGTAGAAAGCTGGAGGTAGGCACCAGCACCCCTCGCGACCCAGCTTGTAAGAAGATGGATGGATGGATGGATGGATGGATGGATGGATGGATGGATGGATGGATGGATGGATGGATGGATGGATGGATGGATGGATGGATGGATGGATGGATGGATGGATGGATGGATGGATGGATGGATGGATGGATGGATTTAAACCCAGTACTGCTTTCGTTAGGAAAATATGCTAACAGATACATTACTTTTTAAAAGTAATCACTGTTTCTTACTTCTTTGGCATACAAAAAAAACAACCATTAATAGATTTACTCTGAATTTTATGTGATACCCCAATTCACTGCTATCTGTCACCCAGTTCGTTAATATAGTCAACTGCCGTGTAATTTAATCTCAGTATAATCTAACATAAATCCAGCTGTTTAATGAAGGCTTAAAAACAGATTGATTGAACAGGATAATGAAGATCAAAGAATGCAATATATTGATCAGAAATAAAGTTGTAGGGAGATTTAGATCAAAACAACATCCCAATGTCTGAACATTTGTCCTGCTGCTCTTCAATATCTCATCTGATAAAAGCAAGTGTGTTGCATAACTGCATACTCACTTAATGGTAACTGTCCATGCAAACTAAACAGCTGGGCAAGAATAGCATAAATCATAGATTCAGCCAAGAGGCTCCTTGTAACTCTGGATGAGCTGCAGAGACCCTAAGCTAGGGTGTTAACTAGTGAGAGAATATAAGTTGTGCTTTCCAAAAATCTAACATTGTAGGAAAAAAAGGCCATAAAAAGACCTGTCTAGAGTTTGTCAAAAGCTGTTTAGGAGGCAAAATAAATATTGAAGAAAGCAGTTTCTCAAATGTAACCAAAATTAAAATTTTTATGGTGTTATGTGCTGAAAAAACTAACATTGTAAATTCCCCTGAATATCTGTGTTATAATGGACAAACAATGTCCAGACCTGAATCCAACAACATAAGTTTTGGCAAGACATGAACAGTAATGTCAACAGACACTCATTCTGACTTGACTAAGGTTAAGCAATTGTGTAAGAAGAATGCAGACATTTTCAGTGTTATAGTGTGTCAAGCTGGCAGAGAGAAGGCCGACAGATTTTGCTGCAAAATGTAGTTCTGCAAATTATTTAACGCATACTTTTCAGATTCTTTTATTCGCACAGAAGTATGAAAAAGTTTACATACTTTTCTTCCCAGTAAAAGTATCCACTTGTCTGTGGTTTGCTACCAAAATTCCCATGGAAAAGTCAAAAACTTTTAAATTGAAACATTAAAACTAAAAAATAATTTTCAAGGGATCGTGTGTCTATAGTCTAGAAACCACACGATGGTTTCATTATTATGTGATTGAAATTCCACCAGATGAGACATTTATGTTCAATCATAAAATATCTGAATATTTTTGCCTTATTTTTGCAAAGTTAAAGATATCTAAATCATTTTATTGTGACACAATAAGCTGGTGACAATAAATCCTGACAAATGTAACAAAGATGTGCAGTTCGGCCCGAGACTGCATACATGTTGGCGCGATGCTAACTCATAACCATTAGGATGACTGGTTTAATGAAATTATCCATCATACAATACAGAAACCAAATCCCACAAACACTTTGGGTTCAAAACAAGTCAAGCTGCACTTGGCCACAGATCAATAACCGAAGCGTGTTTATCTTGAGGAAATAGACTGTCGCTCCCAGGAGATGCAACAAGAACATCGGAAACTTCAAAGATTTTCGTCATATTTGGTACTGATATCTTTTCTGAGATAGTGTCATGCAGTGCCTTTATTTACAGCTCTTGTGTGAAGAGGACACAGAATATGTTTGCATCTGTACAATGAGCCATCCTCCCTCGCGGCTCAATAAAGAAAAATAGGACCATATTTGGCCGCTGAGCTGCTTGTGGCTCTGAATCACACTGAGGACAATACCACTTGGTGTGTCTAAACATTGCAGCAAGTAACATTACATTACATCAAATGGAATGAAATATTTTCAGTTTTCCACACATTCATGCAAGCTGCGCATTCAGGCAAAATCTCATTAGACTACGCAAAAATGTTAGGTTTAACACCAAAAACAAATAAAATAAATTTCACAAAAATGTTTTACTTTTTTGTTTTTCCTATGAACCTATTTAGAATAAACATCTGTACTTTTCTTCACTGGCAATTTCATTCTAGGGCAAACTCTAATTTAGATAATGAGAAATGGGAAAGCCTTTTGATGAGTCAGAGTCAAATTTTCCAGCACTCACTTAAAATATGGGTCAACATTTTTTACACTTTCAAACAAAAAGGCCACTGCAGTTTCTTTCAGCATATTTAATATCACTATATTGATCAGAAGTACATCTGCACTTATTTATAGTAAAATTGCATTTTTTTTTTTTGCTTTTTAAATCGTTATAGTTGATTCCCAAGGCAAATGTGGTTTTCTGTGGGCCGTTAAAGGTTTTATCCATCTTTGCTCACTCATCCATTAAACTTTGTCTTACCTCTCTCAGCAGAGCTCAGTCAGCTCATTAAATAATCAGGAGATGAAATTGCCTCCTTTGTAAGCCCTAAGTTTGATATATCAATTATTCAGATAGCATAAAGGAGCTGCCACTCTGGGAATTTATTGAACCCGACAAAGGTGGCCCAACTATGAGCCCAGAGTTGCAAATGTCTGAGGGACTTTATTTCTGTAATTGGACCTAATGGCAAACCTTAGATCTGAAAAGTATACCTTTTTTTATCCATATGATGCATGTTATGTTCCTGAAACATCATATCCCAAAAGAATAACACTACAAAAAATATAGACTGTTGAAAAGTTTTAAACAGAAAAAGAAGGAAAGGAATTTAAATAAACAATATGTTTAACATTTCCACAGAGCTAAGTGCTTTTTTAAGAGGTGATGTGTGAAGCAACACGTTTTAGTCAAATATTCACTATTAAGTCACACAGAATAAATGCACATTTAGCTAAATATTAATTTAGGTCCACATATTTTTGCTAAATTGGCTGCACTAGAAGCTTTTGCAGAAGCCATAACAGTGGTTTTCATAAAAGGTCAAATTTGTATAACTTATGATACCATGCTGCCAAGTGAAAGAATCCCAACCATGCTCCCTGAGTTAAATCACCACTTTATTCTTGAGGCATGCTAAGCCAGCTGCATTTGAACTTATTGTACATAGTTTGGATCATCACAGGTCAGTTTTCCACTCCAAAGACTTGCACAGAATGTCAGATTACAATAGACTGCATCAGAAAGTTCTCGGAGTAACTATAAAACAAATAAACAACATGCTTACCTGCCCCAACTAAAGCATACTGCAAAAACAATCTAGAAATAAGTCAAAATTTTTAAAATTAAGTGTGTTTACCCTTAATTTCAGTTGGTAGATAAGATGATTTGCCAAAATAATTAGATTTTTTTACTCTTAAAATAAGATAATTAGATAATATGCACTTGAAATAAGACAATGTTGTTGTTGTTTTTTATTTCAAATATAAATTGTCTTTTTCCATTGGCAAACTATCTCTCTTACCTCCTCAATTCAAGAACAAATGCACTTATATTAAGAAACAATGGCTTATCTAGATTTTGATTTTTTTCCAGTGCGTTTCTGCTGGAAAAAAGGTGGTGATACTTTGCTAAAAATCTAGAATTTATGTTCTGTTATTTCCTTGTGAAGGTAAACAAAAAGTATCGATGAATGAGGTTTAAGCAAAATTGTAACAGATAATACAATTTTAACTAAAAAAAATCAAAATCAAGGAAAAGGAAACTACTAATGCTACTACTGAAACTATAATATTTTTTCAGTTAATCCGGTTAATTTAGTTTCCAATTATGACCCTAAATGGATTTGAGAATATTAAAGCTATAGTCTCACCTGTTTCTGCTGTCTCAAACAGAGGCTGATCCCTCTTGTAATATAAAATCCTTCAGAAAGAAATCCTTTTCACCGGAAACTGTGTCGCCGCTTTTCTCTTCTCACTGTTTAATCAATTCTATTTAAAAGTGGAAGCAAACTATAATAAACTGTTACATTTTTTTTTAGGCAAAAAGAAAAAAAAAAGAACAGAAAACAAGGAAGCTGCGAAGTCGCAATCAGAACTAAAACATTTCAGCCTGACTTTTGCTCCTTGCTCTGAGTCGCTGCGCGCTGCTTTGCTCCAACTGCGCTGCGAGGTGCGCTTTTTAAACGCGCCTTGAGCTCCAACTGCGTCCAACTCGATCCGCCGAGTCGCTCCAAAGCTGCACTATGAACATATAAACAACAGTCCCTGCAAGAGGGTATTGAAGGACCCGCCCCCTACGTTTTCACACAGAGGATGAGAAATCCACCGTGAACCTGTGCCTATAGACATGCTGTCTGAGGTTCCAGTTTTAATGTCATCATAGTGTTTGTATTTTTATTTTTGTTTCGTATGAACTATGAGAGAAAAGCACAATAAAATGTATATATATATATATATATATATATATATATATATATATATATATATATATATATATATATATATATATATATATATATATAAAAAAAAACAAAAAACAGGTAAACCATGTGAATAATAAAATGCTACAACACACTGATATATCTGGGGGTAAAAAACTGAATGTCTGATTGACCAGTTTCCATTTTGATTTGCCTAACTGGGATTATTGCCAGGTACAATCTTCTAAGAAAATATCAATAATCTGTTTACACTAATGAAACAAATTAAAATGACCTCCTTCCCAGCCATTTGTTTTTGCACACATTAAGCTCTGTGTCTGATAGTTTCACTTTAACATGCTGGATACCCTAAAACTGTTATCATAATTGTGCTCCTTTCATATTATTTCTAGCTACAGCGAGCTAGAAACATTTAAAACTAACTCATTCTTGACAAATGTCATCTTTGAGTGTTGGAGCAACTGAGCCGGCGGCTAACATCACAGAGAGGTGGCACATATACAAACAGTCAATGATCTTGAAGCATTTATCTAAAGGGAAGGAAAAAAAATGCAGAGAAAATACTTACTATAACTGTCAAATGGCTTTTTCTGGAAAAGAAACAACAACAAAAAAAAGATAGAAGCACAGTATTAGATTTTAGATAAAAAAAAAAGAAAACACATTGAGAAAACAAAATTGTGATAGTATCAGTAACTGTTAATAACTCCAACCAAGAAGTAACACTTTTTATTTTCTACAAATAAATAAAAAACTACAAATACAGGTAAAGAAGTGAAGATTGTTTTCCAGAGAATATCCAGAGACACAGCTGAATACATAATAACTTGGTCAGTCAAGTTAATTTGCACCGAAAGCTTTCACTAGCTTTAACTAGGATGGAGAGAGAGAGCTGAGCACAGAGGCCTCTGGCTAACATAGTACTAAAAATTGAAAGACGTCAAAAACCATTTCAATTAAGTGTTTTGTTCTTTTTGAAAACAGCTTAACACTGAAGCATGGAAAGTGAGAAAGGTACCATCTATACATAGTAAAGGAAAGCGAAACCAGTAACTTGATCAATGGCTCTTTCCAGGAAAGAAAAAGCGAAGAGATGATTCACATGGGGCAGCTGCATCTACTTTAGAAAGAAATGATAGAAAAGAAAACATCTCTATGTTGTTTTAGCCTTAAAATATAACATAAACGTCTGCAAAACACCTTTTTTTTTATTCATAAAAATATACGTATAATATTTAAGTTAAAAATTTGTAAAATTCAACACCTGATTTTAATTCTTTATACAAAAACAAACTGGTATAACAAAGCAGAACAATATCTTCTGCCTTGTTCTCATAAAGGAGTCTAAAAGAAATAGTTCTTGGAGATTTACCAGAGCATTATTCCACTTTTTAAAAGGAGGACATTTAGCAAGTTTGAACAAGATAGACTACTGGATAAACACACTAAGTTATTGAGCTGAAAGATTTACCATGAGAATGAAGCTAGAGAGCAGGCTCTCATTTTTTTCTTTTTTTTTTACGTAGTTACAAAATTAGTCAGGATATTTTAAAAAGACATAACCTTATCTTTATGACGTCCAGTGATGCACTTGGACGATGTTTTAAAGAGACAGGGATGACTGGTCATAGTTACACAAGCTCATTCATTTTTTTAAAAACACTTGTTAAATAAATACATTCTGACCTAGGAGTTAAATGTTTGTATAATTTGCTATATCTAAATCCTCTGAGGGGGATCAGCAAGGGTGAAATAACTATTCCAAATGTCTTTCATTTGAATGTGAGTGACAATAAACACTCCTTAAAATCCGGTTATCATTTTTTCAGCAGGCCTTTTTAAATCATTCTGACTGCTCATGATATCATGAGCACATCAACTGCCTGCCAAGAAACGGTCCAGGGGAGCCCTAAAGCAGAGCCAGACAGTCATTTTGCATCAGCTGTAAAATGCTTATGCATGCAAATATTGCAAATTCAACTTTATTAAGGTCATAATTATTTTCACAGTCTAAAAGCCAAGGGCTGTTACAGACCATGTACCTTCTGGGTTGACTGCAGTGCAGCCTATTTCCAGAGAGTCAAGGGTTTAAATGATGACTAATGATAGGTTTATGGCCATTAAAATGTGACTGCAGAGAAAAGAGCGAACATTGGAAAATATTAGAAAGATGGTGGTTACATCAATCAAAGATAAACACACATAGTTTAATTGTCCAAAAAATTGTGAGCCAGATATTTCTAAAGCATCCATCCATCTTCTCCCACTTGTCTGTCAGGGTTACGGGGTGCTAGTGGCAGCAGCCCATGGGCAATAGGACGGATACACCCTAGACAGCTCACCAGTGCACCGCAGGGCGACACAACCAAACACACAAACCTAAAGGTACTTTAAAGTCATAACAGTCAGGATTTGGGACTGTGGGAGGAAGCTGGAGACAACCCATGTATGTAAAGGGTGAATATGTAAAAACACGAAGAAAGACCCCAGGGCAGGAATTGAACCCAGGACCTTCCTGCTTTAAGGTAACAGTGAAACAAGATGATTTGCCAATTGGATGAGATTTTTTTACTCTTGAAATAAGATAATTAGATAATAATTAAACCCTGAAAAAATAAGACACTGCAATTGTTTTTTTTCTTATCCTAGATGCAAATTGTCTTCTTCCATTGGCAAAGTGTATGACTTAACTCCTCAGTTCAAGAAAAAAATCACACATTTTAAGAGAAAATAACTTATTAAGATTACTTTTTTTGCAGTGTAGCACTGCACATTCTAATTTAAAACTAATTACTTTAATTCAAAAATATAAATAAGATCATTTAAAAGGGGGGAAAAAAATCTATGTGGTTTCTTTGTCTTGCAGAACTCCAATCTCCCTCGGGACTGTTAATAATTCAACAAATAAAGCATTTAGTTGTCCAAGGAGCTTTAATCTTTTGGTTACTTGAAAGAGGCTTCCAGGATGTTCCAGGAATAAAATGAAGTAGTTTCTCATTATTGTTTGTCATTTTGTGTCATCCTGGCTTCATCTCAGGATTGTTCTCAAAGCAGTCATATCTCCAACGATCAGTGCAGAACTTAAAATGAAACAGGCGAGTGTCTGTCAACTGAAGGCCAAACTCAAAACAAATGTCAGTATACAGGACAACATTAATTTAGCTCTCAGTAGCACAAAATACAGCCACATGGAGCATTTGTAGATGCTTATTTAATGATTCCTTCATTTTTCTGTGAAGAACTTTTTTCATCTTTATACAACCTTTTTTAATTAGTTGCATATTCCAGTTTTGAACAAGCTTTTACTTCCAGATTGATAACCTCATGTTTGGCTTTGGAATTTTGTGGTTCATTTTAAATAGAATATTGCTTCAAACAAACCCAAACTCATCACCTCTTTTTTCCTGAATGTTTGACAGTAAGTAGGAGGTGTTTGTGCTGATACGCTGTTGAATTTGTACCAACTTGATCCTGGCCTTTATACTTTGGTCTTTTCTGTCCAAAAGACACTCACCAGAAACCATGTGGTTCCTTTAGCTTTCCAAATTAAAATCATGCTCCTACTTTTGTTTTAGAGAGTTGCAACTTTTTTACATTCAAGAGACTTCTTTGAGCTTTGTGTGGTTTGATCTTGAGTTACGCTTCATTTAACTTACATGCTGATGAAGATTCTGTCATCCAGGTCATAGTCATTCCGTAAGAGTTTAAAAAAAACAATCAACTGGACTTGGTTTCCAAGGCTTCAAGACGTTTCACTTCCCGTCCAGGAAGATTTCTTAATTCAAATGTCTTTAAATGAATTTAACTTACAAATCTGTGTTCGTTGTTGGTGTCTTTCAACCTTGGCAGACCACTCAAAAAAAAAAAAAAATGACCCAGGTCAATAAAATGCCCAAATTTCGGATTTCTTGGATGTGATAAGCTGATAATCATGAAATAAATATGTTTTAAATAGCAATAAATACCAAGTTTGACAAAATTTATTAATTTCGGTGTGACACAAATAAGTGTACACACCTTCATATGTTGTGGAACGGAGAGCTTGAGACATTCAATCCATTTGTGTAACTTTTGTTTTTTCTAGATCTTTTTTGGAAGGCTGTACTCCTGGTTTTGACTCACATTGTCTATGTGCGTTTCTGTCGAATAATAAAATCAGTAAGGTTGAAAGCTGTCCAGATTTGGTACAGCAGCCCGGAGCTCCTTTTCCTACACTGAATAGCATTATTCGTGTTGAAGGCGAAGGAGTAGAAGCTAGGCATAATAGGGTAGGAGTTAGAATATGAAGTATTGCAAAGGTGCTTAAATGTTTCCCCACTTCAGCACACCTGATTTCCATTGATGACTGATTAACAAAGTTTTGCTTAATTGCAATCATATGAATCAGGTGCATCAAAGCAGTGAAACATCTAAACTGACAGGAAAACGGCCCTTGAGGACCAACTTTAGACACCCCTGCCTAAAGCTATTAAAATGACCGTATGAGATAAAGTTGAGTGTTTTCCATCATTTTACAGAAAAAAAAAAACAATTGAAAAGACATAATTTGGGATGATTGGTAGTTCCCGCAGCTGCTTCACAGACCACATGTTCCTCCTTTCCATCTCAAGCAGAGGTTTCTGGGTGTTTACACATCCTGGCTCTGATTCACCAAAGCATTGCACTATTTTTGCATATTTGTCTAATTTGTAAAGCTCTGGCAACAAACGGCTTGTTTTTCAAGCTGTACTGCCAGACATTTAACGTCGCTCTGTGCGGGTGCAGTTTATCCGCTGTTAGTTATTATGCGTTAA